ACATTCAGGAGATTCAAATCAGTTGATATACAATAACATTAAACAAAGTGGCATGTCTATCCATAAAACTCCCACAGTGTTTACAAAAACAATCCAGTCTCGAGTCATTGAACTCAGTTTGCAGAAAAAATTGGGAAAGACATCCTGTGGGATGTGGCTAGTGGCTAGATCCCCAGGTCAGCATTCAGTGGTGTTCCAGCATCATTGCCGGTCGACAGCTAACACTTGAGATTAAGTCAGTGTCTTCAGCTCAGTAGTTCAGCCAACAGTCTCTGGCAGTCCCCATGTATCTACCAGGAGGATCTACTCACCCGAGGTGTCGTCCCCTCCATCTCCGCCTTCCTCTCCCACTCCGCTGCCAGAGGGTCCGAAGTCCTCGTCATCATTGATCTGTTCCGACTGCACATACACACGTACATTGTTGGTACAACATGTGTGGACAGCATGTTGCACTCTATGCATAATATCTTGGTTTCACACACAATACAGAGTACTGAAATATTTTACAATTGTACTTCAGATTCTTCAACAGAATCCATATTTTTACAAAATTTAATAGAAAATAAAACAAAGTCCAGATATTTGATTAAGTCTAGTTTTTTAATTTATAAACACACACAAGGTTGGGAATTATTATTTTTTAAAGCGCAAAATAAAATGTAAAATAATTTTACCGCAGTTCGGAAAAATCTTTGTTATTCACCAAATCAGTATCTGGGATTGGGGACCATAATAAACCGAACAATTTACAATGAGAGCTTGCCCACAGACATAGATACCCCTGGTCTCTCCTGGGGGTGGTCTCTCATTGGAGGTTGAATTATGTCGAATCATTTTGTGATTTACAAAGTTGGTCGCTCATTAGGCCCATGAGAGGTTTCGAGTACTATCAATATAGTATATAAGTACCCAGTACTGTAGCGCCATGTGTGCAGGAGTTGGTGAAATAGAGGAAGACATCAGCTAGGGAGAGTTCTGTTCTAAAGGACGAACTAATAGAAATTGGATAAATGATGCTGAAACAATGAAATATCTTTGTGGCATCCTGAAATCATGAAACATGTATTTAAGGTTGGAAGTGCAGGAGAACGCCAAGCTATCTCAGAAAATAGTACAAAAGTGAAATTGTACTGGGTCTGAGGTACAGCGTTCACCACGCTGATGAGGGTTAACAGCCCGAAATGCATACGTGGTTAGCTTTACTTGATTAATCAAGAATAGGTATTGTTGGACAATTCTGGAATAATTTACAGATAAACTCTTTGTTGATTCCGAACATGATAAACTTAGTTGCACGATCAGTTGATGCCTTAATGAATCTTCTAACATACATCGAGTGTATGGTATAAACCGTTGGTTTTCGACAGCAACGGTCAGGGATTGAATCCCGCATTGGGAACTTTTTTTTTCTGAAAAGAAAAACTGCTTCGATGGCTCCGATTCTTGTAAAAGTCAAACCCAATCAGTAAGTTCAAGTAACCAAACGGGTCTCTGGCACACTTGTGAAAAGTAGAAACGGTTTCAACATGTGTAGACATGTAGGGAACTTACAGTAAAGGGAGTCGCTAACTACTACTCATCATGATTATAATGGCTTGTACCATGTGTACTAGGAATGAAAAAACGCATCTAAATACGGATCAGAAGGATTATAGGTTCGAATCCTGGCAGGCTTATGTTGGATTAAGTCCAGTAGCGCATTTTCGAGGCACATATTTGTCTCCTAGCGACATGGCGTTCTGTGCAGTTAGTCACCGCAAGTACTATGGTGATACAATTATAACTTTAAATCAGATTCCAAGCACATGTCTTACACTGTTGATACTGGTGGTTTCTCTATTGAGTAGCCAGTTCGACACAGAAGTTGTCGCGGGTAGTGTCAACAGCCCGGAGTATAAAAGAACAAACCCAACTTAGACATCCTCGTACAGAAGTTGACGATCCCATCACGTGAAGTGTGACAGCTTGCGTCGAGAGATACCCCAACAAATAAATAAACAAACTGGATAGAGAGAGAGACAGTGTTGTCCGTGTGACATTTAAAATGACAGACAGCGACATTGATTGATCCAGCCGAGGCGCCTGGTCCGGCCACTTGAGGTCTCGGCCATTCCGTCGGCTCCCGCCTGCGGGCGGTGGCTAGCGTGGATTATAACACACGCTCTCTAGAACGCTTCACAATTTTGCGTGTCATCCTTGCGCAGGGGCCATGTTAATCTTTTCTGTCACACGCTGTCTAGATTCGAAACCCTTCTATTGACATCCGCGTGTTAAAGGAAAAGCATACCCACTAATATAAGAGATATTATCTAGACAAAAGACAACTAAAATAATTTATTGACATCTTGTCAATACATGCAAAAGTGCTTCTAGATATTATCTAAAATACATTATGTACATAATGTAGAGCCGGGGAGGCTTCTCCAACGACGGAAGTCTCATCCAGACAATCAGGGACTTATAGTTACACCCCCCACACATGCACATAGATCTCAGGGCTGAAGAAAAACTTGTAGATAGAGGCCTTGGTTGACGCGAGATAATGGAGTTGGCTAGATCTAACGTTGTCTAGATGGAGAGGATCTGAAACGTTGATTCGCCGGTTGTCAGTTTATTTTTTTTTTGAAGGAGACAGAGGCAATTTTGTTTACACTTTGTTATCTCGTGTGTCTTTCAATAAAGGTCACGGTATATCAAATATTTTTCAGAGTTATTCTGAATCCCAATATACATGCTAAACTTCCGTAGTTTTGTCCATATATACATCTCCTTC